TATATATATATATATATATATTATAAAAGAAGTGGATGTCTTATAATTAGGTATGTATGGATACCGACACGATTTTTTTTTTTTTTTTTTTTTTTTTTTTTTTTTTTACTGCTGCTTGGACCTACTCCACTCCATTGAAATGAATGTTTATGTTTATATTCAATTTCATTCATGAAATCAGATCATGATTCAGTAGACTTAAATAAGCAACACCTTTAAATGAAAATAATACCAAAAAGAATTATATCTGTGGGTGATGTTCTCTGTGAACAGATTTCTAAATTGAGTACAATGTCAGATATGTGATATCCTTGCTTTCGAAGTTTGATATTCCCTAATACAAGAAAAGTACCTTGGATTGTAACCAAACTGAATATTTATACATACACACATACACAACACACACAATGTGTGTGTGTTATATATATGCGTTTGCCTAATAAACATGAAATCTGATAATTTTGCAAATGCTACTGAGTCATATTTAAATCTAAGATTTAATAAGTCTTGTCAATACATATAGATATATGTCAAGTAACCTATTAAAGCCTTCTTATTTATAAATCTCTATATATATCGAGTCTTAGGTCTTTGTATAAACTCCAATATAAGAGCGCATCTAAAACGTTCTACAAGGAAGATATCATGAAATGTCAAGGAGAGAATTGATTCTAGTGTGACGCTGATATCCTTTATTCAGTTATTTTGCGCTAAAACATATTTTCCCCTCCATCCGTTATCTATTCATGCCACACAAAATCGCCTCTATCTATATGCAGTATTTGGTTCATTTAGATTTTCAAGTATCTCAAATCACAAATAGCGAAAAACAAGAAAAAATATTTCTTCCAAATACACTATGCATTCATTCGTTCTCTCTCTCTCTTCTTTCTTTCTTTTATTTTGTTCAAATTCTCACGATGTTATTCTTATGGGATTTTTTCCTTTCATGCATATCATGAGTGGAATCTCTCATTACATTTAATTGTAACGAAACTTACAAGCGTTATTTGATATCTCACGTCGAGTGTTTCTTAGCCTATCAACCCACTTACATATGTATTTCTTATATATAAAACAAATGTTTTGTATCCCGATATCGTCATATACATCTCTCTCTCTCTCTTTCTCTCTCTGTATGTGTATGTGTATACATATATATATATATGTATGTATGTGTGAGTGCGCACGCGCGGGCGTTATGTATGTTACATATGTATGTATATGTATGTTATAAGTTACGAATATACATACATACATACATACATACATACATACATACATATATATATATATATATATATATATATATATATATATATATACATAATATACATATTCATACAAACGCTCATACACACACCCATATATACATATATGTGTGAATAGATACATATTCATATGCGTATATGTACATGTATATGTATATATTTATCTATGTCATATATCTGTCTCTATACTTTTATATGTACATATATATGTATGTGTGTGTGTGTTTGTGCGCGCGTGTGTGTGTAAGGACGTACATAGATCTACTTCACGTTCCTACCAAATCTACAGGGATGGGTTAGGTTTTCAAGGTCGCTCCCCCTCGCACACAAACCGACGAATGGTCGCCCAGGATAAAGGTCACTCAAGGACTATATAAACTCTCGGCCACATGACTCGGAGCATCAGTCGCAAACTAAACCACCAACATGAAATTCGTGGGTGTTTCAAATTTACTTTTGCTTTCGGTTATTTCTATCACATGACAAACAAGACACCTTCACTCAAATATGGCAGCAAGAATCGCATATGTCTTTTGATTTCTTGTGTCAGTCTTAAATACTTATCTTTTGTTTCAGGTGATCCTCGCCTGCGTGGCCGCCGTGGCCGTCGCCGCCCCCCAGTACGCCTACGAGACACCCGCCCCGACCTACCTCGCCCCGCCGCCTCCACCCGCGACCAGTCTGCTGAGCTGATCGAGTTCATTCCTATCCTGAGGGACGACCGCGTCCACGAGGACGACGGAAGGTACAACCTCGACGTGGAGACTGCCAACGGCATCTCCATGTCCCAGTCCGGCTCTCCCGACGGTCCCGACGGCGCCATCGTCAAGGCAGGACAATACTCGTGAGTAAATTCGCTGCTATAATTAGTTTTAAATACACAGTAAAATCTTATAACGAACATCTCCCCTGGAGAAAGGTTTAGATCTGTGAAACCCGTGTATACCATCCTCTTGATCTTTCTTCTGTTAACTTTCCAGTTACACCGCCCCTGACGGTTCTCTGATCGAGATCAAGTTCGTGGCCAACGAGAACGGATTCCAGCCCCAGGGCGCCCACCTGCCCGTGGCTCCCGAGTTCCCCCACCCGATCCCTCAGTTCGTCCTCGACCAGATCGCCTTCGCCGCCGAGGAGGACGCCGCCCGTGAACGTGCTGAGGCTCAGGCTTCCGCCCCCGCGCCCACCACGCTCTACGGCCAGCCTCAGTAGACCGATGGCTGAAATCTGTGATATTTATAGTATTTATAATGTTGGATAAACGACACTATGGTGTAAACGAATAAAAGATTTTTACCAAAAATTTAGTGACTTTCTGCTGAATAATCAAATTTTGCGTTATTAAAGCCTTCATTTCATTATTAGGCTTATGTTGTTCTTCTGATGGACAGTACACTGTATAAGACTCCGCACATACGCCTTCATACAGAGACTAAATTGGCAGCACATATACATGCAGAGAATTTTTATATACAAATATACATGTGTGTACTGCACACGTACACTTATGCCATACATATATGCATATATATATATATATATATATATATATATATATATATATATATATATATATATATATATATATATATATATATATACATGTGTATATATCAATATTCATATATATCTGATATATGTACCTGCGTGTGCGCGTGTATATGTGCGTGCGCACTCGCATGGGTGTGTGCTCTATGTCTATGAATATATGTATATACATGTATACTGTTTATATATATATATATATATATATATATATATATATATATATGTGTGTGTGTGTGTGTGTGTGTGTGTGGTGTGTGTGTGTGTGTGTGTGTGGTATACATACATATATATATATATATATATATATATATATATATATATATATATATATATATATATATATATATAATATATGCATTGGACACGCACACACAGATGTATGTGTGTGGGTATATATGTATAGCTATATATATATATATAGCATATATATATATATACATACATACATATATATATATATATATATATATATATATATATATATATATATATATACATATATATATGTATGTATATATATGTATAGATATATATATGTATGTATATATATGTATATGCAGTATGTAGGTATGTCCATATGTATGTATGTATATATCTATCTATATATTTATATATATGTATGTATGTTTATAAATTTATACACACACACACACACACACACACACACACACACACACACACACACACACACACACACACACACACACACACACACACACACACACACACATACATCATATATATATATATATATATATATGTGTGTGTGTGTGTGTGTGTGTGTGTGTGTGTGTGTGTGTGTGTGTGTGTGTGTGTGTGTGTGTGTATTCATACACACATACACACACATATATACTTATATATATATATATATATATATATATATATATATATATATATATATATATATATATATATGTGTGTGTGTGTGTGTGTGTGTGTGTGTGTGTGTGTGTGTATAGTGTGTGTGTGTGTTTATATATACATATGCATACATTTATAAACATATATATTTATAAAAATAAACATATGTATATATATCATATATATATAAACTTATATGCATGCACATACACACACACACACACGTCAGTGTGTACATATGATTATATATCCTTATATGTGTGTTTGTGTTTGTGTGTGGATGTACGCATGTGTATCTTCATTTATATACATATAGAGACACATAAATAAACGATGCGCAAAAATATTCACGACACACACACATACACACACACACACACACACACACACACACACACACACACACACACACACACACACACACCATA